ACTGGGCGTTGGGGCTGTCCAGTGATTGGTGCCAATGCTCACTGCCCTGTTCCTCCCTATGAAGCAGGAGAAGAAAGGTGGAACCAGTGGTTGGGGAAGAAAAAGGACCATCTTCTGCTGAAGAAAGAAGCCAGAGAGGGCTTTGAAGGAAATTATGTATTCATGATGTATTTAAGTCATTTATAACACACTCTTCAGTCAAGATTCCCAGAGTGACTTAAAAAAAACCCAGTAATCTGATAATCCCTGCGTTCAGACATACTAGGGCTGGGCACAAGCTCTCCTACTGCCTGACTTTGTCATATTTCCCAGCCTTGGATTTCCTTTTCCCTACCTCAGTGGAGTGCTTGGAGATGAGGAGTTTCCACCTTCATGTTATCTGCTCCTCTGAGATCTTCTGATTCAGAAGATAAGGCTTTATCAGACTCATTGGACTTGGAGATCATTTCTGTGATATACTGCAGGAGTTTTTGGCTCCAAATTTGGGTTCAGACTTCAAAACAAGCCATGGTGAAGTGTGATAACATTACAAAGAGCCATTGTTCCTTTTTATGTGTTTTCAAAGAAACCAAGCATACCATACTTCATCATGATGCTGGGTACAGAGGTAATAACAAGCCATGCCTGTACAGTTTCCATCATGGCTTGTAGTTATGTGGGAACCCACCCCAAGACAATTCCATGACAGAGAGAACTAGAATTTGGATTTCCCAAGGCCAAGTCTGATACTCTAATCACCATGCTGCACTGGATTGCAGTTTTGTGTGTTTTCTGTATTTTGTGGAGATGGACTGAGCTAAAGTAGAGTGAAGAAGCAGTAGCAATGGTGCGGAGAAAAATGGCTGATTGTGAAGGTTCTTAAACTCCCATAACTAAATTCATAAATGGACATAGGTGTTCTTCTGAAATGATGTATTTTGGAGACATTCTCAATAGAGATGTAAAAGGAAAGCAGGCATATCATGCATAGTGAGACAAATACAAAGCACCATTGTAAGAATGAAATATTAATAACTATAGCAGTAATTAACATCATTTAGAGGTAAGATTTGTGTCATTGCATAAGAAATATATGAAGTGTTAATGAAAAATGTTTTAAATCAATTATTCGAGTTGGCCTTTTCCCCTTTTAAGTCTTGGTTTAAATCAGGCCATTGTGCATCAGTCTATATTCAGATCATTAAATGCGTTTCTAATGTGCACCGCACTATATTTAAAACTTTGCATATCTTTAAGTGATGCTTCAATAAAATGATGTAGGGGAAAGCAATATAAAACAACATTATTTTAAATGCCAAGCATATTAATCTTGATAAAATGGCTGTAAAGTTGAACAGGTAGAATAATTTTGTCAGCATTATAAATTTGTGCTGTAAAAGGCAACACATTGGTACTTCTAATTTATTAAAACTCACCTAATCGTGTGAAGAGGTTATTTTTATTAGCTATATTGTGATGGGAAATGTATTAGCATTTATCCTTCATTGAGCCCCTCTGGGATTTCCCTGTGCATTCTAATATGTAATGAGGAGATTATGCTTTCTGCCCACCTGAGTAAATGGCTCAATTTAGTCATCATCCCAGAACCTGCTTAAGGAAACTTAACTACAGACAGGTGTGATGTCTGAACTATCACACTATGGATTGTGATCAACTGGCAAGCCAAAATGGAAGTTGGTTTTTAAAGCATGTACCATCTAAGTAGACAAAACATGCCCAGAGGCCTCTGCACCTTTGTGAAGGAAGTGATGAACAAATACAATACCCTAAAACATGTTTTCCAGGATTAGGCAACATGTGGTTATTCTAATTTGGCTGGATTGGAGTTTCTGTCACTATTGGCTGTTTTGGCAAGGCCTGATGGGAGTTGTAGTCCAACAGCATTTAGAGGACAGGAGCCACAAGCTGCCTAGACCATCAAAGCATTGGAAGCTCATGCTATGATTTGGGATCCTAACTGGTTAGTGTTAACCATCTTTTGTTAGAACATGAGGCTATTCTAAATGAGTTATATGGAACGGGTATGTGTGTGTACATGTATGCAGGCATATATGTAGATGCTGATGGGAATAACGAACAAAAAATGAGTACTGGAAAACTTGGGTTTTAAAACCATAAAAAGCAAGGCATATTTGGATAGAAATAAGAATAGCAATGGGTGGTACACAGGTTTAATACAGGCTCTGTTTTTTCTGTGTAGTGAAAATACACTCTTTGTCCCTGGAGTATGTGATTCTTGCTTCAGTGCTCAGATACATAAGATGAAATGCTACTTCAAATGCTATGTTCTCTGTTTTAGCTAGTTTCAAATGGAGTTTTAGAGCAAGGCTGGCCTGCTGATTCAGTACGGCCATGATGACAGGGTTCCATCACTGAGTATGGTGCTTTACGGAGCAGGACAAACAAAAGACAAGCCTTTGCAATATACATTTTGATAGAGGAAGCAACAAAACACTGATGGATAGGCAATAGAGCAAATGGAAATATATGCAGTTATATGTTATTTATGCTTAGTTTCAGTAGGGGATAATGATATTTGAATTCAAGAAGGCATTGGAACTAAGTATTATCATTTTCATCTGCAGAATACTTGATAGACAGAATCTCCCCCTCTGCCTTGGTGCATTTTTTTCCTTCATTCTGTCAGCAGGAGGGAAATGGACAGACCCCACAGAATGCTTCTGATCTTCTTTTATCTTTTTATCAAGCCTGGAAATGAATATTTCGTAAGAGAACCAGGAAGTTTGAACAATAGTGGACATATCCTTTGCAAACATTCATAGCCCAATAGGAGAAATTGTTCCATCTGTAATTTTGCAGAATAGCAAAACAGATGTAGCATATCTTGACCTTAAATTGAATGCAACTAGTTCTAGATTCTGTGTTACCCTTTCCCCATTTCTGAGCAGCTGTAACTACTCCTGTGCGTTAACAAAATATTTAGTAGTGTGTATTTCTCTGTGTGTTGCCAGGAAAAGTGATAATGGTCCATTCAGTTCTGGCATGTGCTGTACCTTTTGTACTTGAGAACTTGTTATCTGTCACAAATCTAGATGTGCCAGGTCCAAAATGACCCAAAAATAGCTTGTAGGCTTGACACTTGCTGCATGAATCAGCTTTATATTTTGTCAATTGTCTGATACAGGTAGCCATTTCCTCTACAAGAACAACAAAATGGCAAATACTATGGTTTGCATTTAATACTAGTTTCTTTGTGAAGAAGAGTGTGATGATAATGATTGGCTCTCAAACACATTCAGTAATTAGGTACATAAATATGTTTAGGATGGTGAGCAATTTTAAATACTAAAGAGATGACAGATACTTCATGCTCTTTGTGGGATCTTCAGGAGTTCATGGTGTGAGCTTTCTGATTTGGTCTTTTGACCTTTTTACTTTAGGGCACAGAACTCTTTAGGGGTTGAGTGTAGGTTGTCATTGATCCATGAGGTGTTTAAATACAGTTTGTCATGATGTTTGAACCCAACTGTGCCAACCAATCATGGCATGTTAACCATGAACAACCCATGAAGAGAAATCTGAACTGAACTGTGATTTGTTCACCATGGCTTGTTACTTTGGCTATGTTCAACTACAGTCTTCACTCAACCCTTGAGTGTGGGTTTCCTTCTAGTCTGAATCCAATAAGGATGTTGAATTAAATAAAATTTTGGTTTCACAGGCATAGTTCATAATTGCCGCACATCATATGTGTTTTGCATTGATTTCAAAACAACAATCTTTAGAATGCTGTAAAAATACTGCAGGAATTATAGAGAAATAATGCACTTTAATAAAGTGGTATTAGTGCTTGTGTGGGGAAGGGGATGGAGAGAGAGAGAGAGAGAGAGAGAGAGAGAGAGAAATATAGTAGTTGGGAGATGAGTAGCATGAGATATGCAACCCTTGACTAAAGGAAAAACCTTCAAATGCTGTGTTCCGTAGAGAGGAAACAGGATGTAAAACTAAATATGTCCTTAACACTTGTTATGTGCTGTCACGTCATCTCTGGCTTCTAGTGACTACTCACTAAAATGTCTTCTCGACAGCCCTGCTCTGTTCTTGTAAACTCAAGGCTGGCTTTATGGATCTGTCTCATTGTTGGTCTTCCTCTTCTGCTATCAATTTTCATAGCATCATCATCAGCAGCAATATAACACAATTATAGAATTGTTGTCTTCTCCAGTGAAGTCTTGCTTTTTCATAATGGGCTCATGAAGCATTGGTGTTGCTTCCAGGGCAAGTTTTAGTATCCACTTGGTCCTTATATTCTACTGCTCAAATGTGGGGCTGATAATCAGCTTCTGCCTGCCTAGCCTCTAGGCCGTGCTCGAACCATGGCAGTATAGCACTTGCCTGTGCACAAGTTGGTGAGCAGAAATCTACTAATCTAACCCATGCTTCTCAGTATGATGCACAAATGGGGTTACAGGGTGGGCCCATAATGCTGGGGTGCCAAATCTTTCTCTGGGAAGCCATCCACCCCACCACCCTGCTGCTCATGGGCATTTACTGAAATAAAGGTAGGGTC